ACTGTTCGTGTTTGGTTCGTTTAACTAACCGAACGAAAAAAATTTGTTCGCGTTTGTCTCGTTTACTTATCGAACGAATCGAACACGAACTCATTGACGAACCGAACACGAACTGTTCGCGAACAACGAACTTTTTTGACAGCCCTAATTCACACTCCTAGTCAAATTTCTAACTGGACTCTGCATTACTTTGATAATTATAAAAATTATCTCATACGGACATCGCATGCAGAGATGCGTGCGGTGTCCGATCTACACCGTCGATTACTGCAAATATGTATTTCGGTGAGCCCCGCTTTTAACATTTAAAAAAAAAAAAAAATTTTTTTTTGATCGACGGTGGAGATCAGACACTGCATGCATCTTGCATGCGTTGCCGTATGGAATAATTATCCGACGCGAAGGCCACAAAAAGCAGGTCATCCACCAAAACATTAAATAATAACGTAAAATTCAAATATTAACATGATATATGAGAATATTTGATTAATTTTATGCCAGATGGGGCATTTACATGCATACCACCCCATTCCTACATATTTCTATATCTAATGCCAAAACTTTGTTCTTTTTACGTTTATACCACCAAAATCATTTTTTTTATATTAAAAATAACACTATTTTTATTTTTAAAAAGTGAAATACACCTCATGAATAGACAAGCTCGTACACACGTGTGTATACGAGTAGGGGGGTAAACGAAGCGAACACGAACGAACAGTGCTCGTGTTCGTGTTCGGTTCGTTTGAAATATTGTTTGTTTGAAATAGGTTCGTGTTCGAAATTGTTCGTGAAAGGTCTGTTCGTGTTCGGTTCGATTTGTTCGAAATTAGTTCGAATTGTTCGAATCGTTCGAATCGTTCGCATTGTTCGAATATGTTTGAAATGTTCGAAATATTCGAATTGTTCGAAACGTTCAAAAATTTTCAAATTTTTTATATTTTTTAATCTGTTAAATAGAAAAAAAAATTAAATATTAATTCTCACACCACATCAAAAATGCCACCATTTTAACTTTAAAAAATTGGAATAACTCTAAATAAAATATATAAGAATTATTAATTAATTCTCAAATTATCAAAAATAATAAATAAAAAACTTCCACAAAAACATCTCTTCATCATTAGTCAAACAAATAATATCTTACATAAATAGATAATGTTCAAATTGTAAATTCATTTCAATTCTAAGAGCTCAATTTGAAATCAAATTTTAAATTGTAAATTAAACTTGCATTCACTTCCCTCAATCTCCTATACACATGTTTACTAATTAGTAATTACTACAGCTATAATAAATTCTACTCCACATTGGGATGGAAGGCTCAAATGACATCCTCAGGATTAATTCATGAAGCTCAACCATGAATCCATGCTTGCCCAAAAGCTCTATCTGTAAGAAAATGAACAAATCAACTTTAACTTCAGGCAAATGTAAATGCGTAATACATATACAATTATGTTACGGCCTTACGGGTAAAGAGAAGCCTCTTTTATAATTTCTTTCCAAAACCTCATCAAGCTTGCAATTGAAGTGCCCAGCTCGGCAAATATCTAAAGCAAATAAATATTTCAGTTAAGAGACAACAGAAATAAATCCAAACCATTAAATAAAACCAACATTAATACTTCCCCGCCAAACTGCAATATGCATAAGCTATTTCCTGCACCACAATTAAAGACATTAATATTGCACCCAAATAGATTATCAAAGCAATCAAATGAACCTTAGCAGTTAGCAGAACTGCAAGTTTAGCTATGAATGTCATTTTCCATTGAACTGTTAGCAGAATTGACATGAGGAATTATCTTTATTGCACCACAATACATATACAAATAT